TCTGTGTGGGTGGGGGGACCTGGGGGAGGAACTGCTGTCTGTATGGGTGGGGGGACCTGGGGGAGGAACTGCTATCTGTATGGGTGGGGGGACTTGGGGGAGGGACTACTGTCTGCGAGGGGAGGGGACCTGGGGGAGGGACTACTGTATGTATGGGTGGGCCAGGTGGGGAGTCAGGGGGCTGTGCTCTTAAGTGTGTCCCTGCTTGTCACCCCCCAGGATCGTGTGTGTGATCGAGGCCTCTGAGGAACCATCCACGGGGGGTGTCGAGGTGGACGTCAATGGGAAGCTGGGCCACTCGCCACCTCATGTGCAGTTTACTTACCAAGTGTGTGCTCAGCCCCGGGGTGTGAAAGTGTCTGTCAGGGTGGGGAGGGGGCAGCGGCATCTGTGGTCCCCGAGACCCTGACCATAATGCCCTTATTGTTCTCCTAGCAACCCCAGCCAGACCACGTGGACCCGAAGCAGGGGCCACAGGCAGGTGGCACCTTGCTGACCATCACTGGCACCAACCTGGACACGGGCTCCAAGGAGGACGTGCGGGTGACCCTCAACAACGTCCCTTGTAATGTGTGGGTGTCGTCTGCAGGCCAGTTGTGGCCCCTAGCGGGGGGCAGGGGGTCTAAGCTAACCTGCTGACCTTGGGTGGGGGTTGGGTCCAGAGTGAGGGGACACTGACATGCCCACCCCACCCCCCCTCACTCCAGAACAAAGTTTGGGGCAGAGCTGCAGTGCTTGACGGGTGCCCAGCAACAGCCGGGTGAAGCGCTCCTGGTGGTGGTCTATGGGGGCGCTCCAGTGCCCAGCCCTAATGTCATCTTCAGCTACCGAGAGAACCCAGTGCTGCGGGCCTTCGAGCCCATGTGTAGCTTCGTCAGGTACGTTCCCCTTAGCCACAGCCCCGCCCCAGCTACACCCACCCTCAGGTGCTGACTCAGCTGCTAGGAATGGGGAGCAGTGGGTTGTGGTGATAGGAGGTGGCCCTGGAAACCCCCCACTGCACCCAGCCAGGCAGTGGCTGACATCATCAGGCCCCTAGTCCCTGGCTCATTTGGGGCAGGAACCTGGATGGCAGGGCCACTGCTGGTTTCTTCCTGGGCCTCCAGCTTCTCTCCTCCCCTCAGTGGTGGCAGGAACATCAGCATCACAGGGCAGGGCTTTAACCTGATTCAGAAGTTTGCCATGGTGGTCATTGCTGAGCCGTTGAAGTCCTGGAGCCGAAGGCAGGAGGTTGGACCCCTGAAACTTGTGGAGGTCTGTGTATGGGCCCGGGGCAAGCAAGAGGGGGGCTAGAGCTGCACTCGGCTTGTCGAGCTCATCCTAACGGCCTGGCCTCCTCTCAGGTTGTGGGCACTGACTACGTGTACCACAATGACACCAAGGTGGTTTTCTCAACACCGGCCGTCCCCGAGGAGCCTGAGGCCTATAACCTCACAGTACTGTTGAAGATGGACGGACACAGTGTTCTGCTCCGCACCGAGACGGGCACTTTTGAGTATGTGGCCGACCCCACCTTTGAGAACTTCACGGATGGCGTCAAGAAGCAGGTCAACAAGCTCATCCACGCCCAGGTGAGGCCTGGTGGGGCCTCAGACAGCACCACCTTGAGAAGGGAGTGCTTGGGGCTCTGTGGGATAAGCACTGGACTGCTAAACGCAAGGTTGGCAGTTTAAACCTACCTGTCACACTGAGGGAGAAAGATGAGGCTTTGTGCTCCTGTAAAGATTGATACGGAGTCTCAGTGTAGTGCTGTGGGATAATGTACTGGACCACAAGGTAAGATTGAGCCACAAGCTTGGTGGTACAAACTCGTCAGTCACTCCTCGGAAAACCCTGAATGGTATAAGGGTTGCTGTGAGTTGGAATCAACTCAATGGCACTTAACAACAACAAAGATTGATATCCTCAGACACCCTAGATCGGGTTGCCCTCGTGGGTTACATGTTGAGCAGTTTGAATCCAAAAGGGGAAGCGGAAATAGAATAATTTATGCTGTTCAGTATTATTTTCTGTTAAATTGTTATTCAACTATGTTTGTCAGCACAACAGAATGACCTAAAAGTGGAATAGAAACTCTAAATATGTTGCTAGGCCAATTAATTGGGATGTCCCATGAATCCACGACTCTTTCATACCAAGAAACAAAATCCCATGAGATTTTTGGTTGTATATAATAAGCCTCAGCAGCCACTTGTTTTTTCTGTTTTGTTTTGTTGTAGCCAATGTTGTAAATATGTCTATTACACAACTTTTACAATTTCACTTTGTACAAGCATTGAACTCATGGACAGCAAGAACAGTAGCTGCCTGCATAGCCCTACTCTTAACCAATGTGATGTTCCCATTACTGACATATAGTAAATCCGCTATTCAATGTATATATTCATTCTACAATTTTAGGCTTTGTTGTTTAGTTCTAGAATTTTTAATAAACCGTTTTCATATCATTAAAAAAAAAAGGGGGCGGGAGAAGAGGAGGCTTTCTGCTCCCTTTAAAGATTTACAGATTTGGAAACCCTAGGTTCTGAGTTGAAATCAACTTGATGGATTTGGATTTGGGGGTCCTGATGGGGTGAAGTTCTTGGGAAAAGGGCCTGAGTCCTGCCCTCCAGGAAGACCAGTGTGTAGGGCGAAAGCCAGGGTCTCACCTGCAGGAGGACTGGCAGGGGGTCTGGTCTTGGAGCAGAATAAATCCAGCCAGTGTAGCCTCTGACTGTCCCCACTCCACAGGGCACCAACCTGAACAAGGCAATGACGCTACAGGAGGCAGAAGCCTTCGTGGGCGCCGAGCGCTGCATCATGAAGACACTGACCGAGACCGATTTGTACTGCGAGCCCCCCGAGGTGCAGCCCCCACCCAAACGGCGGCAGAAGCGGGACACAACTCACAACCTACCTGAGTTCATTGTGCGTGTTGGGAGATGGGGACAAGGGGCACCTGACACAGCCAGAGCAGGCCTCGCTGACTGACCCCTCCACACAGGTCAAGTTCGGCTCCCGCGAGTGGATACTGGGCCGTGTGGAGTACGATACACGTGTCAGCGACGTAGCCCTCAGACTCGGCCTCATCCTGCCACTGGTCATCGTACCCATGGTGGCCATTATCGCCGTGTCTGTCTACTGCTACTGGTCAGCTCCCACCCCGCCCTGCCTGCCCCCACCCTCCCTGAGGCCTCCCATGAGAGCCTGCCCCAAGCCCGGACCCCACCTTCCCTGTGCCTCTAGGAGGAAGAGCCAGCAGGCAGAACGTGAGTATGAGAAGATCAAGTCCCAGCTGGAAGGTCTGGAGGAGAGCGTGCGTGACCGCTGCAAGAAGGAGTTCACAGGTGGGGGGGTGCCCTGGGCCAGGATTGGGTGGTGTGGGGAGGTGGGGGTGGCACCTCACCTCAGCCCCCCCGTCCCACAGACCTGATGATCGAGATGGAAGACCAGACCAATGACGTGCACGAGGCTGGCATCCCAGTGCTAGACTACAAGACCTACACAGACCGCGTCTTCTTCCTGCCCTCCAAGGATGGTGACAAGGATGTGATGATCACAGGCAAGCTGGACATCCCCGAGTCCCGACGGCCCACTGTGGAACAGGCCCTCTACCAGTTCTCCAACCTACTGAACAGCAAGTCCTTCCTCATCAACGTGAGCTGCTGGGCTGCGGGGGGCGGGGCGGGGGTCCTGACCAGAGGCATGGGTCCTGAGTGTCCTGCATCCACAGTTCATCCACACACTGGAGAACCAGCGCGAATTCTCAGCGCGCGCCAAGGTCTACTTTGCGTCGCTGCTAACGGTTGCTCTGCACGGGAAGCTGGAGTACTACACGGACATCATGCGCACACTCTTCCTGGAGCTGATGGAGCAGTACGTGGTGGCCAAGAACCCCAAGCTGATGCTGCGCAGGTATGCGGGCACACGAGGTGCGTGCAAAGGGGAGAGGACCAGGGCAGCCAGAGCCCAGCTTCACTGGGACTCCAGATGGGAGCACTCTCACAGCCCTGGACTTAACGGGTCACGTGACCCGCAGGATGGGCTGTGTCCTGGTCACGTGACCAGTGGCATGGGGTCTGCTTCGTGTATGTGTAAAAGTTTGCATGTCAGGCTGCACCTGTGAGACCTGGCAGGGGACCCAAGCCTGGCTGGGGTGACCATGAGGGTTTGGGGGTTCAGGACCCTTGCTACTGGCCTCTTCTGGGACTGCAGGTCAGAGACGGTAGTGGAGAGAATGCTGTCCAATTGGATGTCCATCTGCCTGTACCAGTATCTCAAGGTGGGTCCAGGCCCCACCAAACATTGCCTGCTTCTTGGCTGCCCTCCCCTTGTGGGCAGGCCCCACCCACACTGACCCCCTGCGTCACCCCAGGAAAGCGCTGGTGAGCCCTTGTACAAGCTGTTTAAGGCCATCAAGCATCAGGTGGAGAAGGGGCCGGTGGACGCTGTGCAGAAAAAGGCCAAGTACACCCTCAACGACACGGGACTACTGGGAGACGACATAGAGTACGCACCCCTGGTGAGCAGGAAGTGGGTGATGGTGACAGAACTCAGTCCCCAGGCACTATGCTGGGGACCCTCAGTGGGGTCCCTGGTACAGGTGAGCCAGACAGAGAAGAACGTGGGAGTCCTCGCGATCTCGTTCCTGGACCTATGTTGTAGTGAGAGGAGGCACAACCTTGGCAGGTGTGAGGGAACAGTGTGTGTAGGGCCCCTGGTGGTCTTCCTGCCCCCTGAGCCTGTACAGGCCCTGAGGCCCGGTGAGCTTGTGTGCTGTGTGGTTCTGAATGGTGATTCCCTGTGTCCTCTGCAGACGGTGAGCGTGATTGTCCAGGACGAAGGGATCGATGCCATTCCCGTCAAGGTCCTCAACTGTGACACCATCTCCCAGGTCAAGGAGAAGATCATTGACCAGGTGTACCGCACGCAGCCCTGCTCCCGCTGGCCCAAGGCAGAGAGCGTGGTCCTGGGTGAGCTGGAAGGCTGGCCCGACATGGGGTGCTGGCGGGGGTCGGGGGGTGGGGGCCCAGGTTCAAGCAAGCTGGGCTGTCTACTGCAGAATGGCGTCCCGGGTCCACGGCACAGACTCTGTCGGACTTAGACTTGACCTCACAGCGAGATGGCCGGTGGAAGCGCGTCAACACACTAATGCACTACAATGTGAGTGCAGGCAGTGGGGGATTGGGGCCAGCGGGCAGCTCGGCCTGGTGTGGTCTGCGTGCCTGCCTCACACCTATGTCCACCAGGTCCGGGATGGAGCCACGCTCATCCTGTCCAAGGTGGGGGTCTCTCAGCAGCCCGAGGACAGCCAGCAGGACCTGCCAGGAGAGCGTGAGTCTTCCTCTCATGCGCCCCCTCACCCCTGTGAAGGTCAGCATAGGAGTAGCGTTCACCTCGGGGCACCCCACCCATTTCTAACTGGGTGGGAGCAACAGCGCGTATTGGGGTCCTTGGGCCTTTGCGGGTCCTCAGCATGCGCCTCCTCACCTCCCTACAGGCCACGCCCTCCTGGAGGAGGAAAACCGTGTGTGGCACCTGGTTCGTCCCACCGATGAGGTGGATGAGGGCAAGCCTAAACGAGGTAGCATGAAGGAGAAGGAGCGCACGAAGGCCATCACTGAGATCTACCTGACCAGGCTGCTCTCGGTCAAGGTGTGTGTCCAGCTGCAGCTAGGACCCTGGGGGCACCTGGCAGGCCGGCACTCACTGACCAGTGTCCACCCCACCCACAGGGTACGCTGCAGCAGTTTGTGGACAACTTCTTCCAGAGTGTGCTGGCTCCCAGCCACGCGGTCCCCCCTGCCGTCAAGTACTTCTTTGACTTCCTGGATGAACAGGCGGAGAAGTACGACATTCGGGACGAAGACACCATCCACATCTGGAAGACCAACAGGTGGGGCTTATCCACAGCGGCCCCTGGCAGCTCCCGGCCCTCCAGCCCCTGACCGCTGAACCTTGACTGCCCACCCTCTCACCTCAGTTTGCCGCTCCGCTTCTGGGTGAACATTCTCAAGAACCCGCACTTCATCTTTGACGTGCACGTGCATGAGGTGGTGGACGCCTCACTGTCGGTCATTGCTCAGACCTTCATGGACGCCTGCACAAGGACAGAGCACAAGCTGAGTCGTGTGCGTGGGGCAGCCAGTGGGGTGTCAGTGAGGGTGGTGGGCAGAGACTGGAGAGTTAGTGGGCAGCCAGTGGGGTGTCAGTGAGGCTGCTGGGCAGAGACTGGACAGTTAGTGGGCAGTGGGGGGGGGATGTCAGGAGTACAGGCGAGGTCTACAGCAGGTAGGGAAGGGGGTCTGCAGCCTCTGGTGCCCACAAAGGGACTGTGCCCATCGGCCCCACATGTGGGAGCCTGGCATCCAGCTGGGCTCCATCCCTGGTGGGGCCGCCGCTGTCAGCCTGGTGTCATCTGGACCCTTCTGCCCACAGGACTCCCCCAGCAACAAGCTACTCTATGCCAAGGAAATTTCTACCTACAAGAAGATGGTGGAGGAGTGAGTGTCTGCATCCCTTCCCCTTCCTCAGGGCCCCTCCCTCGGCTCCCCCTCCCCTTCTGTAACTGTTCATCCCCCCACAGTTACTACAAAGGGATCCGCCAGATGGTACAAGTCAGCGACCAGGACATGAACACGCACTTGGCAGAGATTTCCCGGGTAAGGGGGTGAGGGCTGGGGAGTGGGTGAATGGAGGCCCACCCATCCTTCGGGCACCCAGCCTGTTTCAGGTGAGGGTGTGACTATGGGGGGTGCAGTAGATACACCTATGTGACTGCGGCTGAGGGGGGCAGTGTGGAGGGCTGTGATATGTGAGCAGCTCTAAGCTGCTTGGCATGTCCATGTCTGTGGCTGAACGTCCCAGTGGGAGGGACAGACACTGTCTGTTTAGTGGGGGAAGGAGTAGATGTGAACCTTGGTCATTTGTCCATCTGTAGCCCACCTGTGTGAGTGGGAGGGTGTGACCCTTTGTGTCCACCTACATCCATGGCACCACACAAAGCCACATCCCAGTCTACCTGCTCCCCTTAAGGACCATTCTCCAGGGCTAGATGCGTGCAGAGGCTGAGGTCCTACTACCCCGAACTCGGGTCACACCGCCCCGAACTCAGGTCACACCGCCCCAATCCAGGTCACACCGCCCCATCCTAGGTCACACCGCCCCTAACACAGTTCCCACCGCCCCAACCCAGGTCACACCGCCCCATCTTAGGTCACACGGCCCTGAATGCAGGTCACACCGCCCCTAACACAGTTCCCACTGCTCCATCCTAGGTCACACCGCCCTGAACCCAGGTCATACCATCCTTACCTCAGCTTATACCACCCCTTCCCCAGCTCACATTGTCTCTACTCCTACTTATTGCACCCCTACCTGTCTGGGGTCATATCACCCCTGCCTCCTCCGACTCATACTTCCCTGCTTCCCCAGGCACACACGGACTCCCTGAACACCCTTGTGGCCCTACACCAGCTCTACCAGTATACGCAGAAGTACTATGATGAGGTAAGCAGGTCACAACCTCACAGGGACAGAAGGGCACTGGGCAGCCGCTTGCCAGTGGCCCTCAAACATTGGTGATTCACCCTTAGATCATTAATGCCCTGGAGGAGGACCCCGCCGCCCAAAAGATGCAGCTGGCCTTCCGCCTGCAGCAGATTGCAGCCGCGCTGGAGAACAAGGTCACAGACCTCTGACCTCCGGGACCAACAGCCCTGCCTTTCTCTCTGACCAGCAGAGGACGAGCTGCCTCGGCTTCGCAGCTCCTCAGCCTTCAGTAGGTGCGGACTCACGTAGCGTCTTTCTCCTGAGCAATATTAATATTGCCCGAGAGCTGCCGGCCACTGCTCGGCCCAGCCAGCACCAGCTCCCTCCGGAACCAGCATCAGGTTTGTCTTTGTGTCCACTCTCCTGAGCGATTCGCAAACGTGCCTTAGGCGCCTGACGCCCAGTGGGCCATGGTGGCCGCTCAGACACCGCCTCAGCCCCGGGCGCACCAGCCACACCACCTCAAGCACGGGGAGCCCGGCCCGCTTCCCTGGGCGGTCAGCAGTTCCTGCGCCCTGGACTCTGTCTGTCTGTGTCCGGGATGAGAAGAGAACAAGCGGTACAATGCCTTCCTGACCTCACCCTCTCCCTTGCGGGCACCGTCGACCTAAGTAAACTCAAGTAGGCCGCCTGGGCCCCACCTCAAAGGTCAATCTGGACGTCAGACGTCGAGGCCTGAGCAGCCAGAGGGGACCCCAGCAGATGGGTCCTGGTCTCTGGCCTGTCAGACAGGCGGTCCTCACCAGGAATCCTCCCTACCCCACCCCCTTTTGTAAATCTTGTTCATTGTCAATCAAATATAGTGATCTTTTTCATGCTGTGGGTGGGCTGGATTCCTCCCAGGGTTGAAGTCACCTGTCCCCACCCCAGTGCCTCTGTTCCCAACACAGTCCATCAGGACTCCTGCCTGTAGTAGTTCTGAGGGTGGAGGCTACACCCCAAACCTAGCTCTCACTTCTGGGGAGCCCTGAGGATCAGACATCCTTTCATCAGACCCTGGGACCCCCCGCCTCCAAGAGATGGGAGGGGTGGTGCTCTGTGGTCAGCAGCATTCTGGTCCTGGGGCATGGAAGGGGGTTGGGTACAGCTCGGCCTAAACTTGATCCGGGAACAGAACAGTTTGTAGGATGAGAGGGGGCGGCAAGGAGGCTAACCTCAAGCATGGACAGAGGCATCATGGCCACTTCCGCCAAGGCCAGAGTCAACTGGATTCTGCCGGGATGGCTGCCACCTGGTGGCCAAAATATCTCCCGGCCTCCAACCAGCCAGAGCTGGGCTGCCAAGAGGAGGTGTGGCACCCATCTGCACTCCCTGCTTTTAAGATGCGGTTAGAGGAGGCTTCCTCATGGTCAGAATTATGAGATCAAGGTGGCTAACCAGGCGCCCAGGGGAACCCAAAGGTCAGCATTGGACGGGGGACATGTTACAACCAGAATGGAGGCTCAGCTGTAGTCAGTGAGGGGTGTTGGGGAAAGGCCATTGTATCTAAACCCCAGAGGACTAGGTAGGGAGTCACATAGGGACCACAATGACCTGTCCTCTGAACATTGAAACCACCCCTTGTCTGACCTCCATTTACCCACCTGCTTCCTCCCCAGAGCTTACCTGAACCAGAACGGTGTTTGCTGAGGGTGTGGCTTGGCTGTGCCAGAAGAGGAGGTTGAGGTGGGGACACCAGGCACATCTGGACAGTTTTAAGGGGCTCAGCGACGGAAAGGGCTTCCCTGGAGGAGACCTGATGTGTGTGTGTGTGTCGGGGGGGGGTTTGGGGTAGGGCCTCTCCCACTCCCCATTGGGGATGGGAGGGTTGATGGACACCATGGTTGTGTGGCTGAACCTATCAGGACCCAGTCCCCAGGGGAAACAGCTAGGAGGTAGAGCCAGGATCTACCCACCAAGGGCAGAAAGGCTAGGGGCATGCTGGGTGAGAGAGAAAACCAGGACAGGAGAGGTGAGGACAGGGCAGCTAAGGGTCATAAGAACACAGGGGGGGGTGGTGGACAGGAGTTGTGGTCAGAGGTATAGCAAGGACACCGAGGGGACTCCACTGTCATGAAAACGAGGAGCATCTCAGCACCTGCGAGGCAGAGAGCCCGCAGTGACACCCCATCCACCCCATCCCATCCCCCTTGGCTGGTGGAACCTTCCCAGGCTTGGCCTCCCCTGAATTCGATTCAAGCCTGAGGCCTAGCTATGGGGTCAGGTCCTCTTGAGATAGTCCAGCTAAAGTCAGGGGCTGGAGCCATGAAACCAACAAAATACAGCTGCAGCACATGCTCTCGGACTGTGCACAAACAGTGCGCACCATTTGGTCATCCAGCACGTTCTTGCTGAGCACTGGTTCTGCGCCCTGCCCATCTTTGAACACTGGATAAACAGGGTGTGGCCATCGGGGAATTTCCACCGTGTCCAAACAATCCCAACCCAAGCAGAAAGGGCATTTGGTAGCTTCCTATAAGGAAGTATGGCTGGGTCCAGGTACACACATGGTGTTTTTGGTATAAGTAAGATCACTGGGGGTGGGCAGCCCTGGCCTGTGCCTCCCATCCTAGATATGGCACTGGCTGAGGAGAAGGGTACCTCCTGAAGGGGGCAGTCCCATTCTAGTCATAGGAAACAATGGCGGGCATCATCCCCAAGGAAGGGGTACTGGACACCCAACTGATGTCCCCTTTTCCTTTCTAAAGACCAGTTGCTGTTGAGTACTGTCAGGAAATCCAAACGAGGTGCTGATCATGTACTTGGCAATTCAAACCATGGGGCACCCTGATTTGGACAAAGGCAGTGGGGCCCAGTCTGGGGGTGTAAGGGAAAGACCTGGGAACCAGGAAGTCTGACTTCCAGACTGGGTCCCTTCAGCCACCTTCACCCCCACCCCACAGAGCAGCCAGACAAGAGGGAATGGGTCAGTAAGAACACTCGTCACCCCGTAGCTTAGGTTCAGACCTAACAACGCTGTGTCCAGACTAGACTTCCCTGCTCACCTTCAGTAGCAGGGCAGTCCGCAGTGTGAAGGGACCTGGGGTCTTGAAGCTAGCGTGCCTAGGGGTGGGCAGGGTTACACAAGCTTCCTGCTTTTCCTCCCAGTCTACCAGGAGGAGGGAGAGGTGGGGTGGCGGCAAGGGCTCAGGTGGGTATAGCCTAGTTAATCGTATTCTCCAGCCCCTAGACCTTGAAGCGGAACACAGGGATCTCTAGCCCTTAACCAGCTTTGTTCACATTAATGGAAAATACAGCCGAGTGAGGGGAGGATCCTAGTCTGACAGGGATGGTGGGTGGACATGAAGAGAAGGTGGGTTTTGATATTTAATGTAGGGATAGAAAGGAGCCCTGGTGGTGCTGTGGGTAAGCACTGGGTTGCTAACCAACCAGCTGCTCCAAGTGAGTCAATGAAGCTGTGTGCCCCCATAAAGCCCTACACTCCTGGAACTCCTGTATAGGGTCATTGTGAGTCAGAATTGGCTGGTGCAGTGGGTTTGAGTGGAGGGAGACCCCCGGTCCTGGGGGGAGGAGATTCCCCTTGATCCAGCCTCCAGCCTGTCTCCCCCCTGCTGAATGCTCCCCTGCACCAGGGTCTGCCCGCCCCGCCCCGCCCCGCCCCTTGTTTCCTTAGTGGAGTTTTCGCTCCTTCACCAGCAGGGGTCCCTAGTAGGGGCTTCCCCAAGCCCTGTCTGCCCTCTTGTGGTAAATGTCCTCTAACGACAACCTGCCCCCTCTCCCCCACCCTCCCGTAGAGGGCCCCAGGGAACAGAGAGTTCTGCCGGCCACTTCACCACACCAGGCCGCCGAGCCCTATTTATCCCTGACCCTTCACTGCTAGAAGAAGGGCAGGCGTGGAGCCCCTAGGAAGGGGCGGGTAGGATGTCGGTCGCCATGGGAACGCACACAAAGGAGCTCCCCTTCCCCGCGGGTGGCCTTTTGGCCACGGTTCCCACACCCTAGAGGCCTTGGCTCCCGCCCCTTTATTCCGCTTTAGCTGCAGCTCCATTGACTTTGCACAAAACCTCCGCTCTCTCCGCTGGTGCAGAGAAGGCTTCTTCCTCTAGCACTCCCCACCCCCTGGGGTAGGGAGGGACTTTCTTTGGACTCTGAATAGGAGGAGGGCGTTCTCACTCCACCCACCCAGAGCGCCTGCGCCAGGCTCTGGAACATACACCTCAGCAGGAAGCCTTGGTAGCGTAGTGGTTACGAATCGGGCTGCAAACCGCAAGGTCAGCAGTTCGAGACTATCAGCTGATCCACGGGAGAAAGATGAGCCTTCTTCTGCTCCTATAAAGAGTTACAGCCTCGGAAACCCTGCTCAGGGTCGCTATGGGTCGGGACTGACTCGACTCGACTCGATGGCACTTAACAAAAGCCTTATCTTAACAGCGTACTGTCTGGATTTGCGCTGTATCGTAATGACTTTTGGTTGGTTGCCTTGCCAATATTTAAAATTCATGAGATTTCAAACAAAAACTCGGATTTTCACTTCTTTTGAAAAAAGTGTAAGCCTGGCCACTTCAGGCCTGAATTCCATCTTCCCAGCACCCATACCACCCTCCAGGGTGGGTGGAGGTCAGGAGCCACGTGTGGCAAAGCTCTGAACCCGTCATCTTAAAGCGGAAGCAGAAGTAGACTGAGGTCCCGAGCGCTAGGAAAACGGTATAGGATGTTTGGTGGTCGGGGAACAGCCTCCTGCTCCCCATTAAAGCACTGAAGGCCACGTGAAGACGCTGACCTGTCCTCTTGCAAGTCACCTGCTCATCCGCTGTGCGGACTGAACTCGAAGCCTTTATCCGCAGAGGCGGCTGTTAGTTGCAGGTAAAGCGAATAAGCTTCAGGGAAGCTGGATAGGGAAAAAGGTATCCAACAACAACAAGGAGGCACGGCACCCCAAACGCCCCGCCCCTCGTGGCTGCTGTCCCTGGTCCTGACGGCTCCCCAGACCCAGGCAGTCAACACCTTTCCTAGAGCCCGCTAACTCGCTAAGGGTCGCCAGTGGACCGAATGGTTCATCCGGAAGTGCGATCGCCAACACGGAGAGGAACCAGGCACCGCTACTTGCCACGGCAGAGGTGGCCCTGACCAACACCTTCTTGGTTGATTTTCTTTTTTCTTTTTTAAATCAACAGGCCGAGTTTTATTAAGTGGTTTGTCATCTTTTAAA